CATGTGAGGTCAATAATGCCAATTCCTGGACTATACCATTAGAAGCAAGATTCTTAATCCCCATTGCTCTTAATACGTGGTACTGGTTCTATAACATGGAAAGTCTTAATTGGCAACTGATGATGTAAAAGTTGAACTTCAGAACCCAAAACAAAGGATATACTATAGTCAGGGGGCAACCTAAAGCCAAAAGCCAAGTGTGGTGTATAGCCAAGAATTCTTTAGTATCCAGTTCATACACAGTTGATTCTAAAACACAAAACATGAACCACGTTTTGTGATTTTGAATGCATTCTCTGAAGTGGACCAATATGGCTTGCCTAGACTATTCTGGCAGATTGAAGATTGAGAACTTTTAAAAGGGTGTTAGATAATATCTGAAGAGTTATTAAGATTACAAACATGTTCAGTCTTGTACTACCACTAGGTACCAAAAATAAAAGGGCAACGACTGAACATCCCAGAGTTAATGGGAGACAATGTTCATTATTAACCATGCAGGATGCTTATGATCAACGTAAAAAATGCAACTGTGGAAGTGTGCTAAGTGAAATTGTCAGAAATTATGTACAATTTTCATTACCTTAAAACAGATCTTTTGGACTATCTCAGAGTATATATTTTTGCAGCTTAAGACTTGGTACTAGTTTTAATATTTAACACTTACTACCCCAACAGAAAGTTTGTGATTACTCTTGCATATAAAAAGCTAGAGGTTAAATGAAAAAATCGTTTTGCTGTGCTTGTTACATTTTTAAGCCTCCCGAAGGATGTAAATTTGAACCTTTATGATCTTTAGAATTCCAATATTGTTTTTCCATTTCTTCCCTGTAGCCTTAAGCTAAATTACTTCTCACTTAAAAAAAAAACCCAAAAAGCTGTAATGAAGATCTCCTCACTTTAAGAATATTTGGCTGTAATGTATCTAGTAATAAATTTTCTAGTAACTTTTCTTAACATTTTAAATTACAGACATTATATATTGGAAACCTGAGTCTGCTGCAGTCATTTAGAAACACAAGACGATTTGTGTTAAAGGCTTTTTCTAACATCTACCACTAAAAACTTTTACCAAAAAATATAGATCTCAGATCATTTGAATCTACAAGACATAGAAATGTAGCACTGAATGAAACATATCTTGATGATTTCTGAAAGCAGTCTTTCAAATTAATCCAGACTGTTTAGTCTAAAACCTTATACTGTTTTTGGATTTGATAGTCTAAATGTGTTTTTTGAACTGAGTTTTTAATTACAGATTACAGACAGGAAAGATACTATTTTAGGTAGAGTGACGGTAACTTACAACAGAAATATGAAAACATGGTAAACTTGGGGTACTTTAAGCAGTGTCATATAGGTATATAGTGCCCAGAGATCAGTATAGTGATATAGGCAGAGGCCCTATCAAAATTTTGTACATCAGAACACTGCATTCTAAGGAGTCTGCTTAAAATTCAGGATAAAATTCACAGAAGTAACTTCAAAGTGGGGTAAGACTGGGAGCAAAAATCACTTAATAAGCTATGGTAGCAGGCAAGGCAATAGACTGCTATTTTCAACTAATGTGCTGCATCATTTTTAAAATATGAAATATATGATTAGTCAGAGGCATTGACTTGTTTGCCGTTAGGTAGTTAAATAAAAAAATGATGACAGCCAAACTCAACAATAGCCATCCAGTGTGAATGAATCAAAATTACACGTATATATTTTTGTCAAATTGGCAAAAAATATTTTTTGATGTGCCACTGAATTTCAGTAATTAGTTTATGTGTGGCATGAGATGAAAAAGGTTGAAAATAGCTGCAACAGACAATGAGGGCCTTAATGCTGCAGTGGGAAAAGTAGAATAAACAATATTACTAGGTATCGCAATGACTGGTATGAATACAAGTTAGTCAAAAGACCCTCTGGGTTTCACTAGATTTGTTCTCCTACTTCACAAAGACACATTTTAACACTTGGATACATAATATTTAATTCCTTATGCATCAATTCAGTTTCCACAAAAGACTGAGCTATTTAGAAAGCTCATCTTTTGTATCTAGCAGGGGTAGGGAATTAATGCTTGTTCAAAAAATTATCACACTGAAGAGACATGACATACTTGCTGTACTATCTCTATGGCTTTCTGCATCTTTCACAAAATACAGTGCACATGAGAAATCTCCTAGGATTCTTGTCAAAAATATAAATTTTAGGACACTATCATAGACTCATTGAATCAAAATCCAGGAATAGTGCCCAGTAGTGCATATTAAAGTTTAGAACAATTAAAAAATTTTCTAATCCAAGGATAGCTTCCGAGTGACAATCTGCTATTCTACAACCTTTATCCCCTCTTACCCTTGACTGGACACCAGGTATTCTATTCACTACCAAAGATACCACGGTAGAGGAAAAATACATTCCTGGCCTCAATAGTAAACTCTATGGGTTTCAAAACTCCACCTTAGAGAAAACTTTTGTCACTCATCTTTTTTTCTATTGTCCAAGTTCCAATAGCATGATAAACATTAGATTTGCAAGAATAAGCACTGCACTCCAACCACACAAGGTGCATTTGGTCCAAAGTCAGAAACTGGACAAAGATTATTCGGCAGATTTGATTTGGATTCACTTAGGAAGATCTGAATTGTTTCATATAGCTAATATATCAAGTGATATCAAAGGCTATGTTCATTTGTTTTTTAAGAAAAAGGCAATCACTTCTCGGCCTTTTGGCTAAGATCAAGTGAAGAAAAAGACAAAGGTTTTTAATGACATCCTATTTGATTAGTTCTTTTTTAAATATTAAAAAAATTTTTTTTGTATTTACTGGTTATAGAGAGCATAGAAGGGAGAGAGAAAGTGAGAAAGATCGATTTGTTGTTCCATTTATTTATACATTCGTTGGTTGATTCTTGTATATGACCTAACTGGAGATCAAACCCGGAACCTTGGCAAACTGGGACGATGCTCTAATCAACTGAACTATCCAACCAGGGCTGATCAGTTCTTAAGCTCCATTATAAAAAAACTAACTCAAGGAACAGACAACCCATAAAAAACCATGTGATGTATTTCTCAGCTAGTACTTAAAATCAACTAGTAATTTCAACATATGACAGAAATATATCCTATGATTAATCACTAAAGTTAAACAAGGAAGATTTTAAACTATTATTTAAATGTGCTTATTAACATAAGACTTCAATTTTTTTTTTGGTTTCATTCTCTCATTTGCAGAGAGGGGGTCCTGAATTTTTTTCTTCCTTAATTAAATTATATGAGCTGACAAAGCATGGGTCTCTAAATACTGAAATAGCATTCTAATATATGGTGGTATAAAATGAAAAGTAATGGTATTTTTTAGTTAAGAATGAAGCTACTAAAATCAAAATTTGAAAACAGTAAATTAGGTCATATTTATATTTAAAAAATAATAAAAATCAAGTCCTCAAAGAATCAGGAACTTTAGCAAAATCACATGTTCAGACATAGCATCTACATAAGGAGAAACAATAAAGTAGCAAATGGGTTTTGAATTCATGATAAGGTTGTTTTGTAAAAGAAGTCTCTCTTGTCAGTATGGGTCAGGATAGTGGAAAAAAATCATGTACCTAATAATAAAAATATTCTAAAATCAAATTGTGCTGATGGTTGCACAACACTGTAAACTCACTTAAAATACATTTAAAACAAGTCAATTATATGGTAGGTAAATTATACTTAGAGCTGTTAAAAATTGTTTATAAAATAGCAAATGAATGATATATCCCGTCTTCTCAACATCATAGGAATGATCTCAATTTGGAAGGAATTAAATGTCATGAAGATACTAGCTATCACTAGTGCCCACTGTATGCTAATGATTTCAGAGCAGGGGTTCCCAACCTCCACACTGAGGATTGGTACCAGTCGGGCTTGTTAGGAACCGGGGCACACAGCAGGAGGTGAGCTTGAATGTAATGAACTTGAATCACCCTGAAACCACTCCTCCACTCCGGACCATGGAAAAACTGTCCTCCACAATACTGGTCCATGATGCCAAAAAGGTTGGAGACTGCCATTTTAGAGCTTCCAAACTATGAGACTACTCAGGGTCAGGACTAGGGAGATACAATAATTCCTACTTTACATATTAACCCTGACTGAAATATGTTCCATAGAAAGGCCACACTTTGACATACAAGAAACAAATTCACATCCTATTAAAAATGACTAAAATTGAGAAAGCTAGATGAAACTACCCACTGCTTTGTCCTAGAATAGTGACATATAATATTGTGATAACTTCTATTACTCAAATTATTGAACTGTCCTATAGGTACCTGTATGGCTCCTACAGGTTCAGTTATTTATCATATACAAAATTCCATACACATTGGTAGGTTCTAGGAATATATAATTTTGATGAAAGAGATAATTTCAATATAATGTGGTAAGTACTGTGACAGTGATTTCACAGGGTTCAAGCATCTGTAAAAACACAGAAGAGAGTCATTCATTCATCACTAAAATAGCCTGGAGATATGGTAGATAATCCATTAAACACTCCTTTTAAAACCACTGTAACACACCAGCAGTTTGTTAAAAGACAAATTAACCAGAATGTAACCTGCATCCCAACAGCAAAATACCATTCCTGACTGCAATATTTGCTTTCTTTTATTTTAATCTTACCATCAAACTCTAAAATAAGAAATGTTACCATGAAACAATGCAGCAGGGAAGTAGTCAGAGTATGGTGAGTTTACAAACTTGAAATTACACGCTCTTGCAACCATAATGAAGTACTTAAAACTGTACAATCTGAAAAGTTTGGCAAGTCTTTTCTCTTTTCCCAAAAACTATGCCACATTTATATTTTTTCACTGTTTAATAACCTAGTTCATGAGGCACAATGTTGCTAACCAGAAGAAAATCTTACACTAGAGAATAGGGTACTCACACAGTTATTTCACAGTCTGTTTTTGCAATTTGATAACATCAACCTATACTCAGAGAACACTTACCTGCTTTACATTGTATCCTGCTTTTGCACTAGTTTCAATAAACATAACATTCAGCTCTTTGGCTTTCCTCTCTCCCTCCTCAATTGACACTTGCCTGTAGAAAAAGAAAAGAAAAAAAAATTTTTTTGAAAGATGATATTATAAAGATTATAAACAGCCCTGGCTGGTATGGCTCAGTGGGTTGAGTGCCCGCCTGTGAACTGAAAGGTCATGAGTTCAATTCCCAGTCAGGGCACATTCCTGGGTTGCTAGCCAGATCCCCAGTTGGGGGCCTGTGAGAGGCAACCCATCCATATTTCTCTCCCTCTGTTTCCCTCCCTTCTCCTCTCTCTAAAAATACATAAATAAAACCTTAAAAAAAAAAAGAGTATAAACAAAATTCTAAAATAATTTTCTTGATATGGTGCAGGATACACAGACTAGTTTTAAAATTCAAGCTGCAGTACACTTACAATTTGTGCACTCATGTATTATTCTATATATGACTAAAGTTTTTTAAGACATTTTTTAATGATATGCTTTTACTTGGCTGAGATCATCCTGTACGTTCTCCATTTTGAAAAACTTAATAGCCTGCTATTTTCTGTTTATATTACATCTTAAGTATTTAATCTTGTAATTAAAAACTTGTATAAAATAATTTTTTATGGATACATAACTTGTCAATTTGCTACTATAACTTATGTAACCATCCCCAAATTATTAGAAATATATGTTGTTTTCAAATTTTATACTAATGTAAAAAATGTTGCTATAAACATCTTTGTGCTTAACATTTTGTGCACTGTGGATCATTTCCTTATGTTGGATTTTGTGAATTTCTATAAAAGCAAGTCAAAAGATATGTATGTTGAAGTCTCTTGGTACACAGTATTAATATTTATTAATACTTTAATACTTATTTTAAAGGCATTTTGTGATATATTGATTTGGCCAAAGGGGCTGTTTAGTTTTTCCCATAAGATAAATTTTTCATTTTTACCAATAACTTCATTAATTTAAAAATTATTTTGAGTATGTCAGCTATCTCCCGCTAATGGCTTCTAGTGGGGATAGACGAGGGCTGCTGCTAAATGTCTTTCAAGGCATAAGACAGCCCCACAGCAAAGAATTATTTTGTCAAAATGACAATAGTACCAAGAAACCTAGCAAGCCACTTTGACACATTCAATCAGTCACAGCATCTCCAGATACTGCACAAATCTTTTTGTGCATTTCAGTTGTGTTTTCACCTTTCTTAGAATAATAAAACATAATACACCAAAAATGTTGTGTATTTTATTCCCCCTTCAGTATTAAAATGGCTGCACAAAAATTTACCAATTTTGATTAAGTCTTTTTAATGCATTCTGTCTGATATGACAGCTCTCACAATACAGTCTAACCAAATTGTTTTGAATGAAGGTAAAGACAACTAGGCACTAGAAGAACCATAATATGGATAAAACTAAGTGTACTTTTTTGGTCAACCCATTAATATAATTAATAGTATGTCTCAAATCGTGAGCTCTTCAAATGCAAGATTATCTCATTTATATTGGTGTTCCAAGTGCCAAGGGATCTGTAAACCCGACATGTGAGGGATTCCAGACAGAAACCTTTCTTAGTTTCAGAACTATAAACCACCCTAATGAAATGGTTGAAAGCTAACTACAGTGAGGCCCCAACTGGGGGTTGATTTTGTCACAATCACCTAAGGAAGATTCTCTAAAATTCTAGGCTAATTGAATCAAACTATCTAGAAGTAGGGTTAAAACCTACCAAATTAAAAATTTGACCATGATTTTTTTATAGCCAGGATCTTAAAAGAGGGTATAGTGAGCCATACTTACCAGGTTTGAAAAATTTGTGAGTCACTGGGCTATAGGGGGCAGAGTACTGAGCACCAAAGTGTTTAAAATGAGACATTGAAACATATATTCTAGTCTTTCCTTCAAGTTTATACCCCCCAAAAAGTAATTCTCAGACAAAGTAATAGACATTTAACTTTTCAATCATTTTTATTAAAACTTTTTTTTCTGGCCCTGGCTGCTGTGCCTCAGTGGACTGAATGCCAGTCTGCAAACGGAAGGGTTACCAGTTTGATTCCCAGTCAGGGTACATATCTGGGTTATGGAACAGGTTCAACAGTTCATGGTGCGTGAGAGGCAACCACACATTTATGTTTTTTTCGCTCTTTCTCCCTCTGCTCCCCTCTCTCTAAAAATAAAATCTTAAAAAAAAAAAGTTTTTTCTGATTACAAAATAAATTTTTAAAAAGATTAATCATTACAATGAATTCCTCCATAATCCCACTCTCTTCCCAAAAATAACTAGTTAAGTTCTATGTGTGCTTATGTAGATTTGTTCTAAGTGAAAGAACATTTCTCTCTCCACCACCTTTTTATTTGAACAGAAAAGATATACTATGCACAATGATCAAGTGCTTTTTTAAGCTTCATGTGTTAGACCATAATAAATTCCTCTCATTCTTTTTAGTGGTTACAAGTACTCATTTATAAAATGCTACTGCTACTGATGGACATTTAGATTGATTTTAACTATTTACTATTACAAATATTGTTGCAATAAACTTTTTTTAATGTTCATCTTTTTACATTTTGTGGGTATATCTGTGGAATAAATTACTGGAGATGGATCGGAGTCAATAAGTATTTTAAATTCTGATAGTTAAACTGTCCCCCCCCCCCCGTTATATTAGGTACATATTTCAGTATATGAGAGTTCTTGTTTATTCAGACTCTTGACAATACTGTGCATTATCAATCTTCTAAATAATGGCTGATCTAATAGGTGAATATGATCTTTATATTTATGTATTCAAACTTATCAATCTTTCACATTATGGCTTCAGGGTTTTATGTCAAGCTTATGAAAAGTATTCCACTACTGAAAAACTTTCTTTTAATGCTTTTTTAAAAAAGCATTTAAATCTTTTACTCACTTTAAAATTATTTTAATGAAATGAACAAGGCTCTAACTCTTTTAAATGTGAATAGCTGAAGGGTGACAATCTGGCAAAAGTTACTGAGAAGGATGGTAATCCAAAGCAATGAATAGTACCTTAAAGAAAAATTATTGTAAATATAATTAGGTAAGTTTTTAGCATTTGTGTACTCAATTAAAATACTACCCAATAAAAGAACAGAGGCTTATAAGTATCCTTTTAGATAACTCTGGCTATAAATGGAAACAATTCAAACATACAATCTTCTTTATTTAAAAATGAAGATAACTCTCTACTAGAAGACTATATATGTACATGATCTTCAAATTCTCATACTGGGAAGAAATTAAACTCTGAAAATTTATATGCAGATAACTGATGTATAAAAAATAATTTTCATAAAAGATTAAATCATACTTAAAATTTATTTTGTTACACTGTAAAATTTTTATATTTAGAATTACCCAACTAGACTCAGTTTAGAAGATCCCAATTTTGTTTGCAACTCCCAAAGCATCACAGGAGACACTCAAACATATGCCTTCTTCTCCTTATCCGGCCTGATTAGGGTGTTGACCTGGGCCATGACAATGTCCAGAGCTTCTTCACAGCCTGTTTCATCTAGTGCTTGGCCTTGACACCCACAATGAAGACAAGTGTATTGTTGTATTCTACCTTCTTCATGGTTGACTTGGTAGTCAGAGGGAACATGATGATGGCATAGCAGTCCAGCTTGTATTTAGGCAGCCTTTGGAGTTGAGGTGTTTTGGCCAGTGTAAGCAAGGTAACATACAGGTCATTTATTTGTGCCTGTGGATGCCTTTCAGCATTGCTTTCTTTGTCTTCAAAGCCTTGGCTTTGGCTTTGGCTTTAGGAAGGGCAAGGGCTTCCTTCTTCATTTTTGGCACCATTTTTGTGAAAAGTGAATTTACTTTAAAATTATGTAAGACTTTTGGTCACTGTACTGCCAATTCTAAATGAGGTACCATGGACAGAAGTGGGCTTAAGATTTCCACAAACCTTTGAATATAGTGGATTTCTTGACAAAATTTTAATTAATAGCACAAGTTTATTACCCAAATTTCACCATCCAACTCATGAACACAATAAATAGTAAAAGCTTCTACTGTTAAGTAAAATGGTGAAGACTATTTAAAACAGAAAGAACAGCCAGTAGATCACTTAGGAATGCTGAAGGCAGTATTGAAGCCATGGATTCTACAGTGAATGTTAATATATCTTGCATCCTGTGACTTGAATATGGCTTTCCTCATTTGACTAAGATATCACAATCAGGCTATTCAGTTCAACTACACAGCCTGGCTCAACCATACAATTTAAAAAAGAAAAGAAAAAACTATACTACTGAATTATAATGAATATTTATAAGACTACCAAAAGGGTGTGCATTTAATCATCATTATGAATAATTTTTAAAGATAGAATTTGTTTTTTTAAAACATTTTGTTCTTTAACAGAAATACTGCTCATGTTTATAAGCCTAAAAAAGGCAAAAATTTACCTTTGTGTGGAAACAATCTTGCACAGGAGTTATTTATTAATGGACTTACACAAACAAAAAAGTTTCATTTTTTTTTAAGGACTGAGGTTAATGTTTTATATTTCAGGTTCCCAAACAAAAGAAAAGAGGGATAAAAACTTAAGGATTTAACATATCTATTATCAGAACAATTCTTCAGTAGCATTAAAAAGAACAGGCCGCCTAACAAAGAAATCAAACATTTCATTCATATACACACAAAATCACTCCATACCTCTTATCGGCAAGATCTGTTTTATTTCCTACTAGCATGATGATAACATCACTTCCTCTTTCTGTTCTGACATCATCAATCCATTTTGTAGTTTGCTGGAATGAGTTAACATCTGGTAGAGAAGGATGGACATAAAGATCAGTGTTATTGCAAATGCCTCCCCACATGATGAATTAAAAAAAAAAAAAAAAGAAAGAAAGAAAAGAAAGAAAAAGCCCTGGAAGTTGGAAGGGGGCTGGCACATTAGTACCTGCTTTTAATGTGCCTGTAACATAACTCCATTTTATCTGAGTGTAACTGTCAGTGGTCTAAACAAATCACAAGAATAAAATCCTTAAGGTTTATTTCATAGTGGTTTAAAATTTTTGGATACAACCAAATAAGAGCAACGTACTATTATGTAATTGGAAAAATATTTTTTTTAATGTAAGGACAGCTATGGCAGATAATATGGTGTTACATTGCCACAATATTTTTTTTATTACTTACAAATACCAAACATGACAAAGAAAGCATCTCCAAAAGTACGTCAGCCCATAAGACCCAACACATCCAGAAAATTCGGAAAGCCTTTCAAAGCTTTCAACACCAGTCTGTTTGCATTGCTTATTCAGTTTGTGATCACTTTAACTTGAAGTTTATTAGTTTAATGCACCAGAATCACTTAAAAAAATCCATCTTTTCTAGCACTAGGTTCTATGTACAATGCTTTTTTATTATTATAGCAGCTAAAAAGAGTTTACTAATATTTTAACCACCTATGTACAATATTTGAAGAAAAATATACCAGGTTTCACTTGACTTGGTTAAAGTAAGCACAAACATTTTAAAGCTGCAAAACTTGTCAATGCACAATAATGAACATACATTTTTTTTAAACAAGTAGCAACCCAAAGAAAAGCTTCAAGAAAAGATGGCATATAGCACCTAACAACAACAACAAAAAAGTCTCTGAATGCAAACTTGGAACTTATAATTCTGCTATTGCAATTGCTGAATTATTGTTAAGTAGGTATGACTTATGGTTGAGCAGATATGCAAAAATGTGTAATAGTATCACTTGCTCAAATCAATAGTTTGTTGATATGCTTTTAAAGAAGTCTAAGATGTGGTACTGTCCGGGTTCTTCTATAAATTATGGGCCACTAGATGAAACGATGCTTAATATTGCCTAATATATATCATAAACCAATTTATAAAGACAGTTTTAATTGGAGAGCGTTTCCCTATCAGTCACTAATGCTCCATGGAAAATTTAAAGTCACTCAAAATGCCAAAGGTATTAATTCAGTTTCTAGGGAAAAGGAAAAGGAAGACTATTACTTCATTCTCCCATTTAAAACATTTTTCCTGGAGAGAAACGAAAAGTGTAATTTGTTAGCAACAAAGCAAGTCAGTCAGTCACAGAATCCAGGTGTGATTCAAATGAAAATGATTATCAGAAAACTGCACATTATGTTTTCTCTGCCTTCCTCTATAGAGGGAAAATGGCTAAAAGGGGAAAGCAGAGAAAAGTTGGCTAGAAGAAGTTTTTAATAACCTGAACAGATGCCTTGGAGGATTTGGAAAACTTGGCAAGAGGCTTAAATGCAGATTATTTTATTTTACAGAAATCTGAGATCAGGTTAAATAAAAAAGGACATGTTCTTCCAATCATAATTATGGTGTGGCTTAGGGATAACAGGATACTGAGAAAGCCCTGGAGAGGATTCATAACTGAACCTGAAGGAAAATTCCCAGGGCAAAAAAACCTGGCACAGTACAAACAAAGTACATTGGTACAAACTCCAAAGCAAGTATTTCTGACCTAGCCAGTCTGTGATAAGGTTTGTTATGATAAAACTCATTTTTACATGCCAGTATGGAAAACAAGCACAAGACAAGAACATGCATGCAGCTAAGCTAAAGGTTGAAAAGAAGATTAGAAATGCATAATTCCCCCCACTCACTTGTGATATCATAAACAACAACTGCAACAGTGGAGTCACGAATGTAGCTAGGAATCAAGCTCCTGAACCGCTCTTGACCTGCTGTGTCCCATAATTGCAATCGTACCTAACAACAAAATCAGTCAAACAAGCAACAAGGTCAACCCATTGTAAAATACCTACTTGTGATATCGTAAACTACTACGGCTGCAGCAGAATCACGGATGTAACTGGGAATGAGGCTGCGGAAACGTTCCTGACCCGCAGTATCCCACAACTGCAGCCTGATCTGTGGGATGGGAAAAAATGAATAAAAAAAAAACCAAAAAACAAAAACAAAAAAAAACCAAACTCATACTGAAAAGAAAAAAGAAATAATGTTTTTTAAAGGGGGAGGTAGGAAGGAGGTAAAAAGGAGACTCATGCAAAAGGCTGCAGAGATGTGAGCAATGAACACACAAAATTTCCCTTTTTCAAAAGTTGGTAATATAAAAATTTGCTTGCTCTGAAGGTACATGACTTGAAAATGGCAATGGGAAAGACTTCACAGAATCAGAAATACATTTCATTTTTCCTCTCTATAACCTCTCTTTGAATCCTATGCCTTCTGGATAGCAAAAAGGAGACTTTGTTGATGTTCAAATAGTAAGCATAAAAGGAAAAAGAAAGGTAAAAGTCAATGAGCAGCCCAGGCTATCAGGGTAATGGAATGAATGTTTCTCTGAAACCCTCTCTCAAGCTAAAGTGTGTCTCTTTTCCTCTGGGTCCAGAAACCTTTGAAATTGGGTCTCTGCCTGCTGTGCTTATGTTTCTCCCACATATTTTTTCCCCCAGAACACTGTATATAATAATCTATCAAAAAGGAAAACTATCTTTTTGAAACCCTACCTAAAGATTTTACTTTCTTATTTTATCACATTTAAGAAAGAAAAGCCTGAAAACAAACATTAAGTTCTTTTACCATTATAAAGCTGTTTCTAAAGTTTCAAATTTTAAGAAATGGCATGCTATATATTAAAACATAAAAGAGAACCTCCAAAAGAAAACACACATTTATAAGAAACAGCATTAGATATAAAATGTTTTGGGCTATAGGTCCCAAAATATTTCATTTAAGACAGTCACTGTTTAGGTGATAGAAATCTCTTCAAGGGATAATGGACTAGAATGCAGAATTTACATTGTACTCCAAGGGAACATTCCTAAAGATGGAAGACAAAAATCCAACAAATAAATATACATTCTTTCTAACCACAGTCACTTTGGTATATATCGCATTCTGACATATAAAACCTGGAAGTTTGCAAATTCAAATGAAATGTTTACGAATACCTCAAGAGTGGCACTCAAAAGCTTAAGCAGCTTTAATTATTTCAACGCTATATTTGTTATTTTTTTCCAAATCAAGACGACAAATTTTATTGAACAAGCCTAGGGCCTTCAGGGTTTTATAAATAAATTGGTTTTCTCTCCCTTTTGGATTTCACTTAGGGTTAGGAAGTCAAGAGTGCCAAGTACTACTCACTCTGTAATAGGTTTTTCTCAAGGCCAGTAAATTAACTTTGGCAAGTTTGCTACGTACTTCTTATGGTGACACTAATTAATTATGTCTTTGATCATAGTTTTTTATCCTGGAATGTTGCAGAAAATTACACACAGAACGCATTACTCACTGTTCGATCCTCCAAGTACATTGTTTTTGATAAAAAGTCAATACCAATTGTTGCCTGTAAACCAAAACAAAACAAAATTAAATAGTAGTAGTTTAATGATGGTCAGCAGTTTAGGGTTCAAATGGGAATTACAGTTGTGAGAGAAACAATGAATAAACATAAACACATCATAGACAAGTAAAAATGAACAAAATTTTCAGTAATAACAGCTCCCATCTACTGAGCACTTGCTGTGTATTGGGGATATTGGAGATTCTTTTAGGCCCTTCACACGATCACCTCTTATCCTCATCCATCTCTGCAAGGTAGCTATTATCAGCCCTATCTTTCTTCTCTTCTTTTCTCTTCCCTCCCACCTTCCTTTTAAGACTGTATTTACCTATTTTTTTAGAGGGGAAAAAGGAAGGAAAAAGAGGGAGAGAGACATCAATTGGTTGCTCCCTGCACGCCCTCAACTGGAGACCTGGCCAGCAACCCAGACATGTGCCCTGACTGGGAATCAAATGGGCGACCCTTCATTTCACAGGCCAGCACTCAATCCACTAAGCCACACCAGCCAGGGGAGCTCTGTTTTTGTCATTGTATAGATAACAATACTGGAGTTCAGAGAAGTTAAGTAACTAAGGACACAAAAAGTTTCTGCTGTGGAGTTGGGAGTAAAGCGATTTCCAATATATACTTACCGGATAAATGTCTTAACCATTCTTTAAGACTATTTTTTCTTAGAGTATTTTTAGGTTCACAGCAAAACTGAGAGGAAGATACAGAGATTTCCCATCTGTCCCTTATCTCCACATATGCATAGCATCCCCTATTATCAACATAACTTAGGAAGCTACATTGACAGTGACATATTTTTAATATAGGTTTTATCTTTAAATGGTGGCAAAATATATGTATCATAAAATTTGACACATTAACCATTTTTAAGTATACCATTCAATGGCATTAATTACATTCACAATGGTGAACAACTGTCAACACTATTTCTAAACCTTTCCATCATGCCAAAACAGAAACTCTCTACCTATTAAGCAATAAAATATTACAATGTATGAAAATACCACAATTGATTTATCCATTCATCTACTGATGTACAGTTGGGCTGTTTCTACTTTTTGGCTACTATAAGTCCCTGTTCTCAATTATTCTTGGTTTCTATCTAGGAGTGGAATTGCTGGGCTTCATGGTAATTGTACTTTGTGAGGAAATGTCAGACTTTTCTACAGTCACTGCACTATTTTAAAATCTGTCTTAGTAGGTGTGAAGTTGAATCTTATTGTGGTTCTGATTTGCAGTTCCCTAATGACTATTGATGTGAGCATCTTTCCATGTGCATATTGGCTTTCCATATATCCTCTCTGGAAAAACATCTGTTCAAGTCCTTTGCACATTTAAATTGAGTTTGTCATTTTTGTTGTGACTTGTAGGAGTTCTTTGTTATATAGTGTTCTGGATATAAAAAACTTATTAGAAATATAACTGTCAGTTATATCCAGCCATTCTGTAGGTTGGGCCTGGCACACCTTTATTAAAAATCCATTGTCAATAGATACATGGATTTATTTGTGGATTCTGAATTCTATTCCATTGGTCAATATGTCTATCTTTGTGCCAGCACCATTATTTTGATTACTTTAGCTTTGCATTAAGTTTTAAAATCTTCAAGTATGAGTCCTCCCACTTTATTTTTCTTTTTCAAGGCTATTTGGCTTCTGCAATTTAGGATTGGCTCTTTCATTTCTACAAAAATGGTGAAAAAAATTTTGATGGGAATTGCACTGAATCTGTAGATTGCTTTGGGTAATTACTATTGGCATCTTAACAATACTAAATTGTTTAATCCATTTACCTGGGATGTCTCTCCATTTATTTAGGTCTTTAATATTTTGAGCAATGTTTTGTAGCTTTCAGTTACACAGAGGCTTTTATTTAAAAAATGAGAACAAAAAAGGTAGCTTCCTTCTTTAACTCAAACTATGTGACTATGTACAAGGTCTGTCGGGAAAAAGTCCAGCTGTTGTTAAAATAACGAGAATGGTTTGCCTGACATCTATGTAACCTGGCACTGAAATACTGTGGACTGGAATGTGTATGTGTGACAATGACAACTTCAATTTCACTGTACTAGTCAATGAGGGCAGGAGACACCATTGAGTGAGCGTATGTTTTGTGTGGCCATTGCATTCAAAATGACTGAGTACCCTGCCTGGAGTGGCTCAGTGGATTGAGTACCAGCCTGCAAACCAAAGGGTCACTGGTTTGATTCCCAGTTCAGTGCATGTGCCTGGGTTGTGGGGCCAGGTCCCCAGTAGAGGGGGTGTGAGAGTCAACCACACATTGATGTTTCTTTCTCTTTCTCCCTCCTCTCCCCTCTCTAAAAATAAATAAATGAAATCTCAAAAAAAAAAAAAAAATGACTGAGCAAGTAGAGCAACAAATTTCCATCAAATTTTGCATTCAGCTTGAACATTCCTCCATGGAAACTATCTGAATGATTCAGAAGGCGCCTGCTACAGCAACTGGTGATTGGTAGCTGCATCGCAACAATGTGTCCACTCATGCATCACATCTCTGCAGAGTTCTTTCTGTAAAACAGCAAATCACACAGGGGGTGACTCAACCCCTCTACAGCCCAGACTTGGTGTCCTGTGACTTCCAGCTTTTCCCAAAACTAAAATCACCTTTGAAAGGGGAAGAGATTTCAGACTGAGATTCAGGAAAATACGACAGGGCAGCTGATGGCGATTGGGAGAACCATGTGGGGTCCCAAGGTGGCTACTTTGAAAGGGCCTGTGGCATCATTGTCCTACATACAGAGCTTCTTGTATCATCTTTGATAAACGTGTCTATTTTGCATACTATGTGGCTGGATACTTTCTGGACATACCTCATCTTTCAATTATGTTTCTCAATTTAGGGCTTAAGTACATAAAACCAAAGTTCTAGTTCCATTTTATGACATTCCATCTGAGAATGTATATAGGCTAGGATAAACTTGAATTACTTTGAAAGAGCATCTATCTGACAAATCTGAGGAATGTACAGCAATGATATATGGCTACATTTAAGAAATTTCATCAGCAGAACCTCATTTACTCACTATGGTAGAAGCAGCTAACTGCCTGCACAAATATCCATCTCCCTCTTCCTCCTTACTAACACATTTTTTAAATCCATACATATTCCATTAAAAATTTTCCAGACTTCTTTGAGTTTTAAATAAATGGGTGTCTGAGTTGGGAGGTGCACCCTTGGTTTTGTTCTATTCCTCCTGCTTCCTGCCTGGACTATGGAAATCAGAACTCCAGGAGCCATTCAGTAACCATATGGAAGTCATATATTAGATCTGTTTAAACATAAAGTTAGAAGGACTCTTGATCCTAGATGCCAATGGAGCTGCCACAGAACCCTTGAACTACTCTATGCCTGGAATTCTTTTACATTTAAAAAAAAGAAATTCTCAGCCGCTCTGCATATGGAGTAGCCTTCTCTCTGTCCCACTACTTCACTAACAAATGCTCTTTCACTAAAAAAAAAATTCTCATGTAACTTATTCATGTTATTGTTTGTTAAGTTAGCCAAAAATAATTTTTAATGGCTATAAACAGAAGTTGTCATTTTCAGATTTCAAAACGTGCGGTCCAGCACATTTTTTAAATTAATAAAAATTAGTACAAAGCCAGACTTTATGATAAGGTGTACAACAGTCCCTCCTTCCACTACATCATCCTAGTTTGGGGATATCACTTACACCACCAAAATCATAAACATCAAAATTAACCTGAAAAACAATCTTTTGTTGCTTTTCTTTTCGGTTAATTTTATACCAAGACGACCTATTATGACAAAGAAGTTCATCAGCCAAGAGCAGAAAGAACACAAAAAATTGCAGGGAAAATAAACATTATTAGCTATTCCAGCATTTTGAATGCTACTGACATGGAATTAATTCACACCTTTATACTGATAAAAGGCAGATGAGGTATTAGTGGTGCCTCATGTTTATCTCCTCCATGGAAATGCAGAAGACAATCATAGTAGGAAAAAATCAAAGGTTAAAGAATTCTCCCATGTATCTTAATTTACAGCTTCACATTATTTAAGTGGTAATTAATTTGTTGGCTTGGGGGCAGGAGGTCTACTTTGTAAAAAGCAAATTAAACTGAGTACTTTTATTATCAGAGCTCAAAATTCAAGATTAAACAAACAATGGCTTACCCAAATATATCAGTGTCAAGATAATGATAACTTTAGATATTTTTATTTCTATGCTTTCTACTCAGAAATGTGTTTATTTACCCCGAAAAGAATGTTATAAAATACTGCTATTTATAATATGTAAACTACTATTCTGCCTGACTTCCTAAATAATGATTTGTCACCTATCCTGATGTCACACATAGCCAAAGACCCATAAACATCACAATTTTCCAAAAGGGACTCGATTTTTCCAGTATATAAGTGACTAGGTAAAGAAAGTCAGTTTTCCTCTATACCAAGCAATGGTAATCAGCTTCCCTCTGTGGTCCAAACATATGTAAAATTCTGTTGCCTGGCTGCTGCTGCTGCTTTCCCTAGTGATAGAAAATAGATAAATAATAGATGTCAAAAAAGGCAAAGATAAAGGAAGAAATGAGTGGAAAAGTTAAAGAGAAGTCTAAAGTTAAACAAAGGTGAAGAACTTTTGGAAGAGGATGGTAATACAGAGTCCATTTCAGAAGGGTAACCATCGCATTAATAAATGTGTTTATGTATAGGTATGTATGTGACTCTCTCTCTCCCCCCCCCCCTCAGATATCCTTGTGCCAGGCTACTTTAGACAAATTAGGTAGTCTGTGGATTTTAAAAACGAGCCATTATACAGGCACAAAATATCAGTTATGCAAGATGAACGAGTTATCTAGAGATCTACTGCATAACATTGTGCATATAAATAAAAATACTGTATGGTTTACACTTAAAAATCTGATAAGAAGGTAGATCTCATGTTAAGTTCTTACCACAATTAACTCTCCCCCCAATAAAATGACAATATATCTTGGAGGAAGCTAAAATGAAAAAGTCATTAAAAATTAAAGAAAATTAAAAAACAAGAAATCAAACACTGGATCAGAAAAACAATCTGCCCCAGCTGGTATGACTCGGTGGACTGAGCTCCAGGATGCAAACCAAAAGATGGCCAGTTGGATTCCTGGTTGCGGCACATGCCTGGGTTGCACACCAGGTCCCCAGTTGGGGGAGTGTGAGAGGCAACTGATCAATATATCTCTTCCTCTCTTTCTCAAAAGCATGAATTATTAATTACATAAAATGTATCTTTTTTTGTGAAATAAAACTTCATTTAAACTAAGTTTCAGATATATCTTACATACGGTGCACATAAGGCCAGTAATAAATTTTTAGGAGTAAGACTAGCTTTTTAATTATCCCTTTAAGAAGTTTTCCTGGCTCTGACCAGTATGGCTCAGTTGCTTGGGTGCCATCCTGCAAAGCAAAAAGTTACCAGTTCCATCCCTGGTCAGGGTACATGCCTGGGTTGCGGGTTTCGTCCCCAGTCGGGGTGACAACAAATCAATGTTTCTCTGTCACATCAATGCCTCTCTTCCTCTCTGTCTCCCTCCCTTCCCCCTCTCTAAAAACAAATCTTTTTTTTTTTTTTAGTGTTTCTGTTGTGTGTGTGGTGCACATAGGGGTAAAGAATCTTGAAATAATTTACTGAAGACCTCTTCACCTGGTAAGCTGGCAGCTAACCACACATGGTCAATTCTTCACAAAGATAATAATTGATATACTATTAAGCATACATTTATTTCCCTAAGTAAGGATGTAGCTATATCATCTAAACTTTCTTGTTAAAGTCCTGGAGTATCTAGGACTGTAATTCTTACAAAAAACTTGTAGCTTACATTGTTAATTAGTGTCTCCTAAGTACAATATTTTGGCTTCATTAGCAACAACTTTTTAATAAAGAATCAAAATCTTTCCTTATCTATCAAGTTTTACATAACCTCATCCCATCAACATCACTGCCCTTACATATGTATGACTTAACAGCAGCAATAGTCTTAGTGCATGAGAAAACAGCAATGGCACTTTCAGGTACACCTGAAGGATCTCCTTAATTTCACAGAAACCTTGAGTATAACAAAATACTTTTGAAAGACCCAGAGTACTCTAAATATAGATCGTGGCTCATATCTTTAGCCTAAGACTCTAACCACAGTTCATATTTTTTAGCCTATGGCATTAGGTTCTACTTCCAAAGATTCACACTTATATTCTCAGGAATTTTCCACATATGGCTTAATGACATCAATATTTTTTCAGTCCCTAAGACTGGTATTTGTAGCGTCTAAGCTGAGGATAGAAGCATTGCTTGGAATCAAAATACCACCCACATACAAGAGAAGGTCAGCTGGTGAAGTGTATAAGCTGTAGTTGCAGAGACAAAGAAAACTGGGGATATCTATTTAAATGGATCCAGAAGAAACTGAAGCACCCTTACTGATTTTCATTTTTAAACTTGCTCTTTTCATAATGTCTTAAGAGGTGGCTAAGCCATTTCTGAAATAGTCAAAAGAATGATAATAAAATATATACAGTACATACTCATTAGCTTTTTAAGAAGTGACTTTCCTTAAATGTCAGATTTATGATCTCATTTCTATGCTCTTTATGGTTTTTAATAAAAGCCTTAATTAAAAACAAATTCCTTTTGGGATCATGGAAATGTTCTTAATCTTGACTCTGCTGGTGGTTTCATATGTATAGACTGTCAAAATTTATCGGGATGCAAAGAATTCTATAGTACTGTCTGATTTTAAGAGTCCTTTGTATATTTTTGGATAACAGTCCTTTGCCATATGTCTTTTTCAAATATTTCATCCCAGTCTGTGGTTTGTCTTCTCACTCTCTTGACAATGTCTCGCACAGAAGAGAAGTTTTTAATTTTAATAAAGTCCAGCTTTGTCAATTGTTTCTTTTATGGATCACACCTTTGGTGCTGTATCTAAAAAACCATTGCCGCATCCACGGTTATCTAAGTTTTCTCCAATGTTATATTCTAGGAGTTTTATGTTTTACATTTAGGTCTGTGATCCATTTTGAGTTAATCTTTGTGAAGAGTGTAACCTGTGTCTAGATCCATTTTTTTGCACATAGATGCCCAGCTGTTCCAGCACCAACAAAGGTCGCCAGTTGAAGAGACTATCTCGGCTCCACTGTATTAGTGCCTTTGCTCCTTTGTCAAAGGTCAGTTGGCTATATTTGTGTGAGTCTACTTCTGAACTCTGTTTGCGAAATACTAAGAATGACATATACTGGTCTCTGCCCCTAGTTCCTCACATAGGGGTCCTAAAATCTTTGTAAATTCCTAAGTGGTAAGAGCACTAGGAGGATCTCTTATTCTACATTTGGTCTTTGAACCCAGTCCCTAACACAGGGCTCCTAAAACTCTTGTAAATGCCTAATAAGAGCATCTTCTGTTCTAATGAGGTAACTCTGGGTGGCTCCTGGATTGATGAGAGAGGGGAAGGAGCTGGTCACCAGAAAGACCTAGCCGTATCAGAAGCTTGGAATTTTCAGCCTCATTCCCGATTCTCCAAAGAGGGGAGACGGACTGGAAACAGAGTTAATGACTGGTCATGTCTACAAGATGAAGCCTCCATAAAAATCCCCAAATTTGGAGAGCTTCCAGTTTGGTGGACACGTCAAAAAACCAGAAGGATAAATGCATTCCTAATACCACAGGGACAGATGCTCTTGCATTTGGGGCACTCCCAGACCTCACTCTATACGTCAGGCTATTCTTCTGTAGCCTTTATATCCTTTAATAAATCAGTAAACCTAAGTTAAGTGTTCCCCTGGGTTCTGTGTGCTGTTCTAGCAAATCACAGAACTGAAGGGGGAGAAGGTCATGGAAACCTCAGATCTGCAGCATATAGTACAGAAGTTGTGGATAACCTGGCGACCAACTACTTGTTACTAACATCTGAAGTAGAGAACAGGCCCTGACTGGTGTGGCTTAGTGGGCTGGGCATCATCCTACAGACCAAGCGGTCGCTGGTTCCATTCCCGGTCAGGGTACATGCCTGGGTTGCCAGCTTGGGTCCCTGCTTGGGGGCATGCAAGAGGCGGCCAATTAATGTTTCTCTTACACATTGATGTTTCTCACTCTCTTTTCTCCCTCTTTCTCCTCTCTCTAAAAATAAATAAATAAAATCTTTTAAAAAACAAAATGAAAATGAAGTGAGGGGAAGTCTCATGAGACTGACGCTATCACTGTGTTTGTAGACAGTATAAGCATTGAGTTAAATTGCAGGACACCTAGCTGGTATCAAAGAATTGCTTGGTGTAAGAAAAACCTCCACACACCTGGTATCAAAAGTGCTTTAAATGTGGTCATAGCATGACAGTAAAGGAGAAAAACAGGTTTGGGAAATGAGGTTTTTTCAAACCCTATTCCACTTATCTTTTTGTTTATTCTTTTGCCAATAATAACACTGTCTTGACTACTGTAGCTTTATAGTAAGTCCTGAAGTCAAGTAGCACCAGCCCTTTGACTTTGTTCTTCTCCTTCAATATTGTCTTAGCTATTCTGGGACTTCTGCCTTTCCATATAAACTTTAGAGAAGTTTGTCAATATCCACAAAATTGCTTGCTGGAATTTTAATTGGCATTGCATCAAATCTATAGATAAATTGGGAGCAACTGACATATTGACAATATTGAGTCTTCTGTCCATGTACATAAACTCTCCATTTACTTCTTCTTTGATATCTTTCATCAGAGTTTCTAGTTTTTCTCATATAGGTCTTGTATATATTTTGTTAGATTCATACCTAAGAATTTCATTGGAGGGGTGCTAATGTAAATGGTGTTATGTTTTCAATCTCAAATTACACTTGCTCATTATTAGTATATAGAAAATATATATAGTATATACATTAAAGTAGAAGGTTAAACTATTGATTTAATGTATTTCTTTTCTTTATAGCACTTCTTTAGCTGAATCCCATTAAGTGTTGATATATTGTGTTTTCTTTTTCATTTGTCTCAAAGTATTTTCTAATTTCCCTTGTGGTTTTGTCTTTGGCCCATTGGTTATTTAGGAATGCATTGTTTAATTTCCACACATTTGTGAATTTCCTTAATCTCCTCATTCTTGTCTTAAAGTATAAATCAAAATGTCATAGAATCCTAGACTTGGACAAAATCTCTATACAAGACTATTTACAATCATTCCTACTTCTAGCCCAGATAGTACCAACGATAATCTTTCAAAAGACTCTGGGAGAGATACAGAAACCAAATGAAGTTGAGGACTATGAGCAAAATCAGTTATACTTTGTATTTAGATAGCTTTTTACAAATTACAGAAAGTGCTTTTATAGCTATGACTGCATGTAAATAAATGAATTTTTAAAAAAGACCTTGAATATTACTTATAACACAAAATTGGTAACAGCTAGTAGGATGGCAAAAACAAAATACCTGATAGGTGTTGTCAAAACTGTCATACATGAATCTGGTAATCAAGGATGTCTTCCCAACTGAAATACAAAGAAAAAAAAATCACTCAGTTAACATATTACATTGGGTTCTCGAAGACTTCTTTTATAAAAAACTGCAATTGAATTCAGTGGGAAATATCTGTAAAGGATTTAACAATAATAAAAAAAAAACAGAGTCCCAAGTTTGTTGACATGCCTTTCTTTAATAAATAGATAACAATCTCTCAAACTAAAATGCACATGTAAAGAGTTAAGAGTCGAGGAAAATGAGGGAAAAGATGGAGGAAAACAATCAATTACATTGATACCTCTAATTTACAAAAAGACAAAGCAGATATTTACTTGGGTCCTAACAAAAAGAAGAAGCAGGTATTTACTTGGGTCCTACCAAAAAGAAGTAGGATTAGATCGTGAAGCAACTGTAGTCAATGCCCTGGACAGTAACCTGGGGAAACTGAGGTTCAGGTCTGCTTAATTCAATGAATCAAAGCATACTCCCTGGGAATGTAAAGACTAGAGAGTCCTAGGAAAGCTATGAGGGCTCCAAGAGCTAGACTATTTATGCGTGAGAAAGAGGTGACACGGACAACTGCTTTAAAACACACCTCATGCCTTGGCTGGTGTGGCTCAGTGAACTGAGTGCCAGCCTGCAAACTGAAAGGTCACTGGTTCAATTCTCAGTCAGGGCACATGCCTGGATTGCAGGCCAGGTCCCCAGTAGGGGGAACACAAGAGGCAACCACACATTGATGTTTCTCCCCCTCTCTACTTTCCTTCCCCTCTCTCTAAAAATAAACAATCTAAAAAAAGGGAAAAAGAAAGAAAAGGAAAATAAAAATCTTAAGGAAAAAACAAAACTTGTCTCAGGATTAGATTTCCCTTTACTGAGGAATGAATAAACAAAATGTGGTATATCCGTACAATGCAATATTAATTAGCTATAAAAAGGAATGTACTGATATATGCCACAATAAGGATGTCTTAAAAAAGTACACTAAGTAAAAGAGATCAATAGCAAAAGACCACATATAATATAATTCAATTTATATGGAGTGTTTAGGTAAATATATAGAGACAGAAAGTAAGTCAGTGGTTGCTTAAGGATGGGAGTGGATAGAGGAATAGCGAGGATAGAGGTTAAGGGATATAGAGATTCTTTTGGAGGTGATGAAAATATCCTAAAACTGTCTAGTGATGGTTGCAAAACTCTGTGACAATACTAAAAATTACTGTATTGTATACTTTAAATTGATGAATTGTATGTGATTTTATCTCAATATACAGCTGTTACTAAAAATTTATGGTTGTACACAACATGAATGTACTTAATGCCACTGTACACTCAGAAATAGTTAAAATAGTAAATTGTTTATGTATATTTTATCACATTAAAAAAACTCACTACCAAAAAATTATGGAAGATTTTTTAAAATCTATTAGAACACCAAAGATAACTAAAAGGATTGCTAAAAACAATGGATGATTATTAAAGATTAGAGATACTAATTATTGTGCCTCTAGAAGAATAATTTAGACGATATTTATATAAATGGTAATTTCTCACATAATATACTTAGGATTCAAAGAATAGTAAGACTAGTGTTTGTATACAAAGTGTCTCAATTGCTTCATAATTCTTGGTCAGTTATTCTGGGCAGATAATACTGAAACAGACCAACTACATATTTCTATTTTCCCACAAGAGAAGTCACTATATAAGATTAATATGCTATGATAATAGTAGCTCAAATCAGATGCTATGATTTTAGTAACAGAGCTAACGAGGGGGGAAACCCCTACTTCCTGTAGTCACTATTCCATCAGAGTAATGAAGACAGCTGAAAAAGGTACTTAACGACTACAACAGAAAAGTTCAGCTGTAAGCAAAACTCACTCCAGTATCATATCCTTGCCATATCATGTCCAAGACGTTTCACCTGGGTAATGTAATTCCATAGCAAAACATAATTAATTAAACTAAGCTAATGCTACTTCAATGTAGCTAACCTGGACAACAACACTAAAATTAAAAAAAAATCTAGTAGCCTTTCTCTAAAGACCTAAACTGAATAAAGATTTTGTTTCTCCTAAAGTTAAAAAACAAACGATGACTATATTTGTACAGTCATATTCAAAAATGGGGAGAATGAGATTGGTTGTATGGAATATTTGTTAAAATAAGTAATTTCAAGTCTATGGCTCTACAGGTGTTTTTTAATAAAGGTGCTTTGTTCCTTTACAATAATATTTATGTTAAAGGCATTATACCTGAAGTACTATGAAGTTTCCAGGATGATGAAATGGAGACATCCAAAGTAAAAACAAAAAATATTTACTTACATATGAGACGAAGACAGAAAAAATACTTACATAAAGTAGAAACTCACTGGCTACTCTTAACAAAGATAACAAGTAAACAAATATTTTAATGCTTGAATGGCTACTATTTCTCACTTCATTACAAAACTAAGTGCGAAGGCCCTTACCAGCATGGCTCAGTGTATTGGGCATCCTGCCGCAAACAGAAAAGTCATGGGTTCGATTCCCAGTCAGGGCACATGCCTGGGTTGCAGGTTAAGTCCCCTGTTGGGGGCATGCAAGAGGCAACCAATCGATGTTTCTCTCCCTCTCTTCCCCTCTCTCTGAAAACAAATGCTATATAAAAAATAAATAAATAAATAAATAAAATGTAAGACCAACAACAACTATGTGCTAAGGATCATAGAGGTTTGTGGGATGATTCTGAAAAACAACTAAGACTTAAGGAAGGCCGTGACCACCAGAGTTTACACTACACTGAAAGAACAAACATACACAGGTACAAGAATAAATATGAGAAGAAATAACTGTGTAAAGCATCCAGCTTCTCTGTATTGCCAGAGGTGTATCCTTTCTTAATTTACAAAACATTCCAAGGCTCCCTAGTATCCATAAGATAAAGTTAAAAATCCGTAGCAGGCATTCAAGGCCTTTACAATCAAACTTGAGCCTAGCCTTTCAGTCTCATCTCCTATCCCTGCCTAACATAAATTTCATTTGACAGTGATGGAAGGCTATTAGTTATTCAAGCACACCATGCACTTTGGAGCCTCTGAGATTTTGCTCATGTAACCTAATTTTGAGGAACTTTTCTTTCCTGGTTACATTGTGAACTCATAAATTCAGTATCAGATATGGTACTGTCTGAAGGAAAGGAAAAGTAAATTACCTTTCAAAATTACTGTCTACCTAAGATTGTATTTCTACCAGTATTTTAGATGGCAGCAGGGTTTTTATTTTATTCTTACAACAAAGTCAACATCCATCTATGAATGTATCATAAGGCTAAAAAGATGAGTTGTAAGTAATCTGTACTCTCAAAGAACAGACCAGTGGCAAGTTCAAAATAAATAATAGCATGAGACTTACTTTACCATCATTAACTTTACTCAAGAACCTTAAGTCTAAGTGTAGAAATATATCATAAGGAAAAGCATGATCCACTTTTTCTTATGGGGAAAAATAAGAAAAATTAGCAAAATAGCACTTATCTCAAATTATCTTGTTGGTGCATTTTTTTACTAGTTTACCTCCCCAAATTACAAAGGGTAAGATACAGAATAGGAACCTCATCTGTCTTGTTCATGGATGTACTAACAGTGCTGGTCTCTGCCTGGCACTGAATAAATTAATCAATGAAAAGAAACTTCACCAAGTAGACAGCATTCACTACTAGGGTAGCTCAGAGTCTAGAAGACAGGAACGTGCAACAGCCTTGCATTCTTGGAAAAATGAAGGTAGATACAGTTCATAGGAACATACTTATAATAAAACTCAGGAAAATTGACGTTTTAAAACTAGAAGGCCAAATTCACTAATTTGTAGTAATAAATAACTTCCGTAAGGATGGAAATACGACTAGCAAATTTTCTCATTCAAGTTGTACACTTATGACTTGTATGCCTTTCTATTATTTTGTACTTCAATAAAAAGTTTTCCTGCCCTGGCTGGTGTGGCTTGGTGAATTGAGCGCCAGTCTTCGAACTGAAAGGCTGCAGGCTCAATTCCTGGTAAGGGCACAAGCCTGGATATGCCAGGTCCCCAGCTGGGGGCATGGTAGAGGCAACTGACCAACGTTTCTCTTACACATCAATGTTTCTCTCCCTCTTTCTTCCTCCTTTCCCATATCTCTAAAAATAAATAAAATCTTTTAAAAAAGTTTTCCTCATAAAAAAATTAACATAATCATTGTCTGAAACAGTAACATATTATAGGGTTTTATACACACACATACACACAATTAAAATACACATAGCATGTAAAATCAGAAGAAGGAGTGGTAAGTAGAGTTAGAATTCTAAGGTCCTTGCATTGTCCAGAAGGGTCAAGAAATCAATTAATGGTAGATTTATTTTTTTGCCCTTAAAAATTTTTTTTCTCTTTTTCAGAGAGAGGGAAAGGGAAGGAGAAAGAAGGGGAGAGAGATATTGATGTGAGAGAAATGGTGATCAGTTGCCTCTCGTACGTGCCCTAACCGGGGACTGAACCTGCAACCTAGGCATGTGCCTTGACTGGGAACTGAATCCGTGACCTTTCTCTTTGCAGGACAATGCCCAACCAGCTGAGCCACACCAGCCAGGGCAATGGTAGGCTTTTATAAGTCACAGCTACATGCCACGACTTCCCTAAATAAAAGAGTAATCACTAAATAAAAGGGAAAAAATGTATAACTTCCCTATTAATGATGATTATGGAATAATTTTTAAAACACTACAAATTCAAGTAACATAGGAGAAAGAAATATCCATAACAAAAAATAAAGCATATTAAGAAGACAGTAGATTTATTTTAAACCCAAATACAATCATGTGTTGTATAATCATATTCTGGTCAAAGACGGCCATTACTATAATGGAGCTGAAAAATTCCTATCACCTTAGAACATTATAGCCTCCCTAAAGAGCACAACACATTACTCCTGTGTTTGTGATGACGCTGGTATAAACAAACCCACCAAAAAGTATAGCTCATACAATTATGTATGGTACATAATACTTGAT